AGGTGTCGTTGAGATATGGGGGAGCATATGGGGAAAAGACACCCACCGGCCCCCCCAAGCCCTAAGTGTCTAAAGTGGGACTATATTTTAGCTGTGATTAGAGAATTTGACATGGGTGATACTTTTGCCTCTTGGGTGAAAATGTTATATGCTCATCCTAGAGCTTCGGTTTTAATCAATTTTAATAGATCATCTCAATTTTTATTACATAGAGGCACTCGGCAGGGTTGTCCTCTCTCGCCCTTGCTTTTTGCTATTGCAGTTGAACCCCTTGCCCTTGCCATTAAAAGGAACCATTTAATATTGCCCCCAAATTTAGGCCAAATTAATCATCATATTTCTCTCTATGCAGATGACATTATTTTGTATCTCCGCAACCCAGAACAGTCTGTACCACCCCTGCTAAATTTACTGGAAACATTTGGTAAATTCTCAGGATATTCAGTAAACTGGCAAAAAAGTGAATTTTTGGCAGTGACTAACAATATAGACTCAAATTTTATGAGTAGTCTTCCTTTTAGAATCGCCACAAACAATTTGAAATATCTCGGTCTTAATATATCTAGAAACCCTACGGATATGTACAAACTAAATTTTTTACCTATGCTGGAGAATCTGAAAACCAATATTAAACAGTGGAGGACCCTACCATTATCAATGATGGGCGGGTGAATGCTATTAAGATGGTGATATTACCCAGATTCCTGTACCTTTTTCAAAATCTACCAATTTATTTACCCAAAAAGTTCTTCAAAACTTTGGATTCTATTGTACTGCCATTTATATGGGGCTTTAAAGTACATAGAATATCTAAATTGCATGTCTGTAAGCCTAGGTCATTGGGGGGGTTGGGTTTGCCAAACTTTCAACACTACTACTGGGCTGGACGTTGACAGTGAGGCAGTACATAGTGCTAACACTTTACCCATCATGTCAACCAGCTGTGTCGTACTAGTATTTGAAACAAAAGGGGTGGCATTGGGGTTTAGCAGAACATTGGAACTTGGTGACTGACCTGACGGGAGTTCAGGTTGTTTTGGCGGACTGCATACTGGGTTGTCATAGACCGTCACAGTATTCTGATGGCAAGCGGACACAGATGGGTAACGTGGGGTTCTAATAGAAGCTCTTTTCGAGCCCCTACTGTGACAATCCAGCTGCTCTTGAACCTCGGCCGTACTCCACTGTTCAGCAGGTTTGAACTGAAAAGACAATGCAAGTCCAGGATCTGGACAGTGAGAGACAAACATCATAACAGCTTCAGCTGCTGGAACTTCAATGCATTTGTTCCGCCCACGCAAACACTCGTCAGCCACATCGATTGCCTTATTCAGCCTTATCCAATAATCCATTGGGCTCTCATCCACTTTGGGAAGTGTGTTATAAAACTCAGCCATAGGCATATTTGAATACGTTGACTCGCTGAAATTACGCTTTAGAATATCAAACACTCTGCTAGGGGGCACTGCAGCAGTTGGTCCAGAAAAGCTGCGCAGGGATACTTTGACTACATCCCTCGCTTTTCCTGCTAACCTAGCTAAAATGAAATCACAGACCTCAGCATCATCAGCGCATTTCCTACTGTTCAAATAAGTGCACATCATGTCTTCCCATTCATGCACAGTAAATGAGTCACTTTTATCACCCCTGAAGAATGGTGGAGGCGTAACATCATGTTACACAATAACTTTCAGCTTAGAAGCATCGACACATCCACTAGAATGCTGCACATTTGACATGGACTGCATGAGGGCCGGCGATTGTGTTAAATTGAGACTGGTTGAAATGCTCTCACCAATCTTCTGTGCCAAATCAGAGATAATTCCGCCTAAAGACTCAGTAATAACATGACTAGTATTTGGGCACGTGAAAGGAGTGGAACAAACAGCTGGGCCCCCTGAGGCACCAATACCTGAATCAGATGCATGCGCTTGGTCAATTTCAGCATTAAAGAAAAATCTTCCCCTACCAAAACATTGAGGTGAAACTTCGGACAAGTTCTCAGTACGATGAATTATATTCCCACTACCCCTACCTACTGAGAACGCAGCGCTGGGCTGTCGCAGAGGGCTAAAATTATCCTGACTAATAATGTCCTCCAACATGACTTAATTGAAGTAGAGATCACAAAGAGAAACGTAATAACTACCTAAAAAGACAAGAAAAAAAAAAGAGTAGGAAAAAGAAAGAAGAAAAGAAAAAAAAAGTTCCACACACGACAAACACTAAAACAGCAGCGTGAGCACAGCACAAAAACGTTAAAAAAAATCAATAATGAGCATACACCAGCGCGAAAAGTTAGCAAACTTAGTCACGTTAAATGTGCTGCTAACAGTGCAATGCCTTTCAAAGACAGAAGAAGCCGAATAAACATTGATAAAAGCCGAAACAGTTGTCCACCATACTTCACCAAGTGCAAGTGTTTGAACAAAACCATCCAACGATGAGCAATGGACAAGATGAAATCAGGAGACGAGGCCAAAACGCGAGGCGGCTTCTGCAATCAGCGAAACACTCCTCCGGCGTCCCTGAAGCAACGCGCAGCACAAGCGCAGTTAACCCGAAGCAGCACTCCCGGTGAGCGGCGAGCAGCCGATCGTGTAAAATCCAAAGGAGTCACGGCACCACGTGTAACCGGTCACTCCATTTAAACTTTACTCCACGTTGTGTGAATCATCCACAGGACTCAGGTGGCTGTTCACTGGAAGCGTTTTATCTCTTCTCTCTCTCTCTTCTCTCTCTCTTCCATATAGTTCCATCAGGAAAAAGGGGAAAATTATTAATATGACTCAAAAAAAAAGAAAAATGCCAGAAAATCACACAAATACATAAAATAACATTATACACACAAATTGGACTGAAAATATAGAAATAAAATAGTTAATAAAAATAAGGATTAAATTGGGTTACAAGGAGTCAGAAGCAACATACCTCTTCCATATAGTTCCATCAGGAAAAAGGGAAGAGGAGGGGACAAAACAGGAAATTGTACTGGCTTTAGGTGACATCATAGGATTTAAAGGGGAAAGGACCCATCTCAACCAGGCACCCATATCAGGCATATGAAATGAGCAGTTTTTTTGTGTAAATTTTAACAATTTAACAGGTTAATTTCTATACCTGTTACACAAGCAAGACGTATAGTTCGGCG